AAATATGGCTGGTCCAATTGAAAATATGGAAAATATTTACAAGAAAACTTACAAATATACACCACCATCGCCGCCAGCTAATCTGATCGACTGCAATAACTTGACTATTGATTTCACGGCTCGGAAGTTTTTAAACATTGGACTAGACCCTACCGATGAATTCAAAGCAGCGGTTCATATTATAACAGCTTCGCGGTATGTAAATATTCCCATCGATTTTCTGGAACGCATATTCAGACTTATGGGAAACATTCTATCGTTCGTACTTGACCGTCTACACGAACACAAACGAATTTTATTTTTGGAGACAGAGTCAATTACAATGTCTAGTATGATATATAAATCGGAGAACACACTTGTTTTAGAATCGAAAACTCAAAACGGATGTCGCGTTTTGTTAAATCGTATAGATCTACTGGTCTTACAAGATTTAGAATGTGCTATTTTTGAAATTATTAAAAGAAAATCTGAAATAGTTAAACCAATTGTACTACATCATATTGAGTTAATCGCTTCATTCTTACAATTAAACGTACCGCTACAAAACTCTACACTCGAAATAATGAGAAACCATGTGAGAAAAATTGATAATAGTTATATCCAAAGACATGTTATTGACGAGGCAATACAATATGGTATTAGTCAGGGCGATTACATTTACACAAATCAAGTAAAATTATACGCAACTGATTCTATCGTACAAAAATGGATGAACAAAGTGAAAGAGGTATAAATATTTTTTCTTAACTTATTTTATTTTTATGTTAACAAACTAAATTTTTACAGGGAAACAATAGAGGGCATTCAATAGCTATTTCCCCACCATCGTTCAGCTGTTTATATGAACAGGTAATAAACAGTTTTAAATTTTATCTACAAACCATATTTAAATTTCAAATATTTTCAGGAAAATCTATCATTAGTCTCGCCCTTGTCCCCGCCAGCACAAGAGAGCTACCTCGAGAACAACCAGGAAGGCTTTTCGGAAAACGATGGACCATTTGGACCACAATATAATTAATTATTTTTATACTAATTTAATTGTTTTTTGTCTAAAATAAAAACAAGCGTGATATTTAAAAACAAGTTTTTTTTTATTTAATAATAATAAGGTTATAATATATATATAGCATAAGGTCACAATATTTTACAAAAAAAAAAATATATAAACATTTTTACAATTTTCTAACTTCTCCACTAAACGGGCTATAAGTTATAATCTGGTCATGTAATATTAAGCAGTACGCTGTAGTTTTTGCTGGAATAATTGTATCCGTATCAAATTCAATACGCAGGTCTACGGTTGACGACTTCACATTGTCGTTTTGACACGATAAATCGACGACGATGATTGGTGAATAGTTTTGAAAAATATGTTTTGATAATAATGGTTCGCTGTACTCTTTCTCATAATACGATTTTTGAAAGTCTGTATAGGCCTTATACAGTATACTAGTTGTATTATTTTTAAAATCAGCACGAAAGTCTTCATATGGATACACTTCAGAATTTAAGTGAACTTTAAGATTTTTTAACTGACAGTGATCAAAGCGCCCGGCGTCTGTCTCAATATTTCTTTTACGATCTGTTTGTAATCCAAACAACACAAACCTAGGTTTTTCTAACAAGTTGCTGGACTTTACCGTCCACGAATGTGAAGTATTCCTAGGAAGAATGGGATACTCGTTAAGATCCCACGTGCGGAATGCACACGATAGTGTTTTACAAGAATCTATCACTTTTATCAACTTTAATTTTTCTTTATCACTAACTTTGATAATAGGAATTTTCCATGCTACCTTAGTAAGTTCAATTGTAATTTTTTTATTGTTTTCAACGGCTCCGCTTGCACCCTCGCCAACAACGTGTATCGCGTCCAGATCGGTAGACGCCCGATTTAAAATCAATTGTTGATTACAATTAAGTAATATTTTTTTATAGTCTTCACAAAATCCGAATAAATGTTTTAGAGGGATACACCCGGTAAATACATTGCTGCTCATAAAGTTTTTATTATCTTCGCCATCCATAGCCGAGTCCCAAGCAGCGCTCTCTAACGTATTCAAATCGTTTGGAGTAGGTATACGAACAGTATGCTTTTAAGTAGTGATGTGGATTTTACGTAAAAAATTTTTTTGGTAATTTACCGTGTAAATTTTCCGGTAAATTTACCAAATTTACGGTAAAATTGGTAAATTTTTATTAAAATTCAAATTATAGCGTACCTGTTGAATTTTTTCACAATATAATGTAAAGAAGGCAAGATAAATATAAAATAAAGTACTAGTATTTATTATTTAATCCCTTTATTAATAATAACAATTAATAATTATTAATTTATCATAGTAAAATTAAAAATACTAAAATATAAAATAAAAATAATTTTAATCTGTTTCAAAAAAAAATAAAAAAAATAAAAAACAACTTATAGTATATTATATTATAATGAAAACAGCATGTGTAAGTTAACTACCTATCACCTATGTATTAATAACTTCTTCAAAATCTGATCTTGAAGAAAAACTTTCTGTATCCATTGAGTTATCAACTAAGTCGTCTGTATCCCAATCTTCTTCGCTGCAGCTTGATATTATATTCATTTCATGTTCAGCTTCAGCTTCTACTTTTTCTGACAACTGGTTTATATTAAAAGTACTTGTTGAAGGGGCCATATGAAACTCATTTACAATAGAATGTGTTTCACTAACATCTGACTGAATGCTCTTTTCAGTGTTTTGGGAATTTTTTTTCTGAACCTGTTTTTTATGTAAATTGTTTTGGTTCTGATGAATGTATAATAACTTTCCAGCCCGCTCATTAGTTAACTTATTCCTTTTTTTTGTATGGATGAGTGAATATGTGCTAAATGATCTTTCGGTAGCGGCAGATGATGAAGGTAAAGATAATATTCCTGATGCAATTTTACTTAAACTACTACTTCCACAAATTCCATTCCACCAAGTGGAAGGGCTCACATTTTCTATTTCTAGTGACCATATAAATTGTTTACTAAATAACCCTTCATGTGTTCTATATTGAGCCAATTCACACATTACATTTTGTGTTTCTTCAGGGATCAATAATTTGGAAACAAGAAATATATACTCAACTCCTTCAATATCATTGTTTGATTCCAATTGTCTTCCTTGGTACCTTGGGTCAAGACGTATAGCACTAGCATAGTGTATTGGATGAAGTGCCATAGTTTTTCTATTGTCAAAAAATAACAAAATAGATTTTTTTTCTTCTTTAGACAAAAAGTTTATTTCAGGTAGTTTGTTTATCATAATTGATTTTATATCAAGCAGTGCATAAAACACATCACTTATATATGGTTTATCAGCTTCTAATCTTGTCATCCATTTTGGAATGAATAATAAATTAAATATTAAAATGTCTGTTAATTGCCAAACATTATTCATCTTATAGTTAAGTATCATACATATAAAAAACAGTATGAGATTTAAGCATTTAGCTATATTAATAAAAATATATTACATTTAAAACTTAATAGTAGATAATAATAATATAATATACTTGTTTATTTTTACTAGAAATTGTATATTTAATCACTAATTAGTTAATTGTAATTATATTAGAGTTGGCATGTACTAACGTTACTAACTATCAATGAATTATTATAAAATTATTTTAAAATTATCATTACTTGTTCATTTGTTTTCATGTTATCCATAAACGATATTAACTTTCCGTTTTCCATTGTAGAAATAGCATTATTTTTAACAGTTTCCTGTTTTTCTAAAGCCACAGATTGTTGGAGATGTAATTTGTTTGATACCTGCACATTTTCTGAGTCAATATTCATTCAAATATTATTGTAGGAATACCTACCTATATTAAAATATTATTACATTATATTACATAGGTACCTACCTTATTTTTTGATACGATGTTCTTAATTGATTCTGGCACTTTTGGACATTTAGAAATATGAATTGCCATTCTCGTAACATTTTCTTTGTAAGTGTTGTTACAAAATAGACATTTTTGTCTATTATTTTGACACGCTTGAAAATATTGTTTCTTAATTTGTTGAGGCTTCATGACTTATTATAATATTGTAATCATAAAATAAAATAAAATTGAACAAAAGTACGAAAACACAATTATAACATAATATTTTATAATCACAATTATATTGAAAATTATTATTATTTATTATGACCATGCTATTTATAAGTTTATAATAATATTGTATTCAAAATAAATGTGATGAGATAAAGATAAGAGATAACGTATCGTATTAAACAGTACCAGTAACCGCGTACACCATATCACAATAATTCGTATCACGTAACTGTCGTTATCATTTTATAAAAATCCTAATTTGTATTATAATCCTAATATCTTGATAGAAAATACAAAGACATACAAATAAAGTGGTCACTCAACTGTTTGAGTGGTAAAAAAAATGTAAATTGTAAATTGTTTTTTGTAAATTTACGGTAAATTTACTTTACCGGTAAAATTTTACATGGTAAATTTACGAGACTCACATCACTACTTTTAAGCAAGATGAGACTCCAGGTGTTTTTAATTTCTGTATTACTACTCCATTTATTTCATATCGCATTTCGGAGAATAAAAACGCCAATCCATTATTTGAAAAACGTACTTCTCAAACAGCATCGGCAGGTTTATTTACTCTCCCCTCTATGTAAATATAGCTTTCACACGGTAAAGTGTACGCATCCATATTTAAAACACTTATCTTAATTTCGTCGTTATTCGATAAAGACAGGTTCGAGTACGGAGTGAACGAATGATAATGCTTTTGCGTTATTTTACACTCGTCGACATAATCGATCCCAACGTCTAAATACGAGTCGTCCATAATTATTTTTTTTTATACTTGCAACGAACGTAGAAAATTTAAATTATTTTTCGTGAGCTTGATTTCGCCTTTTTTCGGTTTAGTTGTTGACTTCTTAACAGCATTCGGTAAACTGACTGGTTTTTTGATTGTAGATCTTTTTATATTAAACTTTAGTGCCATTTCCACACGTTATTTGTAATCGAATCGTAATTGGTTCACCGCGCAGATTTATTAGACAATCGTTCTGATCTTTTAGCACGATATACACTCTAGATATCAAAGTCGTGTTGAGAGCATAAAAAACAGGATGTCTAGGTACCTCGACGATTTTATAGCCTGGTGGAACAGTTGGATAGAGCTCGTGTATGATCTGACTCGGTGCTCCGTCGCAAAATGAGCCAGTAATCAAGTTACACATGACTTTTATACTATTGATTTTCATTATCTTGACTGTACTTTCAGATTCGTAATTATTACCAGTAGTGTATAATTCATTTCTAAAACCCAATAATTTCGCTATACTATTTTCAACTGATAAGTCAACGTCATGACTACACGAGAGTATACACTTTAATGTGGTATTGTTTGCTTTTAATTCAAACCACTCGATATATTCGGGCATATTTTTCTGTATAACACTCTCTAAATTATCAAACTCATACGATCCCGTAGGTATGATAACGTCCTCTCTTTGTCCGATCATATTACGAAAACCGATAGTATTACAGCCGGGTTCAATGTTTGGTATTGAATTATTTGTCTGTAGGCTCAAAAGGCATATTTGTGATGTGCTTTCTACTTCTAGCGGTGGAAAAATGTCGCATGACAATTCACTTGAGGAAACGTTTAATGTTAACGTGGACATGATAGAAATTTTAAACACAAGTGCCCGCAGTTGGTAGTATTATATTTCTGCTCTCTGCTGTAATTGAAATTGATGTCGCATCCGTGAAAATATTTTTGTACTTCTAATGGAGGTGGCAAATTTCCGAAACTGTCATAATATTCAATTTTATTCCCGATTTTTTTATACGCTACCCAGTGGGTCCCCACCCCGTTTTCCGTATCCAAGTTAACAATCGCTGATTCCACTCGTTTACAGCGTACAGGCAACCTATCTCGGGTAAACACACCGACGAAGTGAGGTATTTTAATCAAACGAGCCATTTTTATAAGCTCGTAATCGTACAGGGCTCGACGGGGTAACGTAGCTATTAGTTTTTTTTATTTTTTCTAGTTTTTATAGTCTTCTTCGTTTTTACACTCCCTCCACTTTTATATGGTGCGAGATTTAAACCTGATCCGATTTTATACGAGTTGCCCTTATACGGCGCGATATATAATCCGCCGCCCAAATGAGATTGCGTATTTCTTTTAAATTCGTTAGCAACCTTGACAACGTTGGCAACACCGCCACTCAGTGCTCCTAGTGCTGACAAACCGGCAAACATCGGAATGAGCGGTAACACCCCGCCCTTTTTCGGAATTGATATAATCCTTGGAACTTTAGTTTTTTTATTTTTGAATGTTTTTCGTGCGACGGCTACACATTTCTTACTTAATTTCATAAGATTTTTTTCGCCGATATTTTTCTTTATTGTGTTTTTAGCTGCTTTGATGGCTGCTTTAAACCCGCATCCAGCCCCGATTTTACGTTTTGCTTTCATGGCGGTAGTTACGCCCCAAGCCACAGCTTTTTCTTTTAAACTAGAATCTTTAGACTTGAACCTATCCCAGGCTCGCTGCTCTAATATATAGTCAGCCTGGTTTCGATCTGTTATAGAGTTACTACGGTCGTATGCAATATCGTGATCCCTACACGCAGCGTCTAAAGGATTTACACCTTTATCTCCTCGAGCTAAACGTTTTTTTAAATTTGTCCCAGGCCCGCAATATTGATAACCTATAAGAAATATTATTATTACTATTACTGCGTTAATATACGCGTATTTATTCTCACCAGGCACGTGAATCACTAATGGTAGTTTATTTATAAGCGTGTTTATAAGACCAGAACCATTCGTAGTCCTTCTTCGTGCGAGCGACATCGTACACTGATCACGTTCTCAGTGTTACAGAGATATTTAAAAATGAAATTCGTTAAACAAGATATACAACTCACAGTTGAAAACGTGGATCCGCCTACTTCGTATAAAAAACAAAGACATGGTGTACTTCTACCTAATACGATTAGAGCACTTATCATGGGCCCTTCAGGTTGTGGGAAAACTAATTTAATATTCACATTATTAACACATATAAACGGTGTACGATTTCACAACGTCTACATATATTCAAAAACATTGGATCAACCAAAATATAAATTATTGAGTGATATTTTATCAGACATTAACGGAATACAATTATTTACATTCTACGAAAACGAACAAGTTATTGAACCTGAAAAAGCTTTACCAAACTCTGTGTTTATTTTCGATGATATTATAACTGAAAACCAAAAGATTGCAAGAACCTACTTTTCCAGAGGTCGACATAATTTAGTAGATGTGTTCTATTTAGCTCAGAGTTATTCAAAAGTGCCTAAACAACTTCTACGTGATAACGCAAATTTTATTGTTTTATTGAAACAAGATGAGACAAACTTAAAACATGTTTACAACGAACACTGCTCCGGTGATATGTCATATCCTGAGTTTAAAGAATTTTGTACTTCATGTTGGCGTAAAGGGAGATTTGAATTTATCGTCATAAACAAAGACAGTGATCGCGATAACGGTCGATATCGCCACGGATTCGATACGTTTGTTGTTATATAAACTATGGTTTTTTTATAATGCACTTCATTCGCAAATATGTCGTCTAAAGGTGAGGTACTCGGAGAATTGATTAAAGCTAAAGAAAATATTAAACGCAAGTATACTGCATTAAAAAATGAAAAAGCTGATATTCAATCTTTTGTATCACAAACATTTCAGCCAATAATCGAACCTCTAAACAAATTACAAACTGTCAAAGTTGACGAGGGTATGGTTTCCAACACGTCTGACGATCGGTTCACAAATTTTCGTAAATTAGAAGACCAGGAAAAAGATAAAGTATATGGCCCGAAAAAAAATTCTCAAGGCATTATCAAATTAGGTACAGAAGTAATACATTTTAGAAACGGTGCAATAATTGTGAGAGAAAACTCTTATCCGATGACACAAGGGCTTGGTGAGTTATTGTGTTCCAGATATCCAATGCAATACACAGCTAATGATTTAATTACATATAAAGACATACTGATTCAAACTTCAGCACATTTAACACAGGACGGAACAAAAATTAGGAAAGGTGGTACAAAGTATGAACAAATTATTAGCAAGCTATTCACCACAGGCTCAGGTGTGAAATTACAAACGCATAATCTAGTATATTGGAATGATCCGAACGAGCTGGTCGATAGGTTACGACTTCTTTTAGCCTCGCAAGCTGCTGGTAATACAGGACTTTCCAACGAAATACTTTCAATTTACGAATAATTGTATGAAACGGGTTTAATAAAACGAATTCCAAATGTCTAAACGTGATATAGCGAACGAATTACACAAACCAGCGAGAAAAAATTATACAAGGCGAAGAGTTAATGTGTATGGTAAAAACGACTTGTGGCAAATCGATTTAGTGGAAATGATTCCTTATTCTAAAAAGAATAAAGGTTATAAATATATTTTAACTATCATAGATTGCTACACGAAATACTGTTTCGCTGTACCTTTAAAGTCAAAAACGGCTAAAGAAGTTTCAAATGCAATGTCAAAAATACTACTCAAGCGCTCGCCAAAACTATTGCAGGTCGATAACGGAAAAGAATTTTACAATGTAACATTCGATGTGCTGATGAAGAAACACAATATACATAAATATTCCACGTATAGTACAACAAAGGCTTGTATCATTGAGCGTCTAAACAGATCAATTAAGGAAAAAATGTATAGAGAATTCACTGCGCGAGGATCACATGAATGGGTTTCTATTCTACAATCTCTGATTAACGAATATAATAATTCAAAACATAGAACAATAGGTATGACTCCTATACAAGCTGATGCAAATCCTTCTTCAGTGAAATTAAAGCAACGTCGAATTAATAATGTAAAAATTAAATTTAACATCGGTGATTGTATTCGGATAAGCACGTATAAATCAGTATTTTCAAAGGGATATCTGCCGAGCTGGTCCACAGAAATATTTAAAATAACCAAAATAAATAAAACATCTCCCACTACTTATCAACTAGAAGATTATACAGGAAGCCCGATTTTAGGTTGTTTCTACTCTGAGGAAATTCAAAAAACTAGTTTCCCAAACGATTATTTAGTCGAAAAAATTATTCGTAGGAAGGGGAAGAAAATGTTTGTAAAATGGTTAGGGTTCGATAATACACACAATAGTTGGATAGATACGAGCGACATCAGAAAATAGTGTCAGTCGAACACTAGACATGAACGTGTTCGGAAGTTCACAGGCTGGTGAAACAAAAAAATTTGTGACAAATCTCGAACAAACCGTAAAATCATATTGTATAAAACTAAGTAAGTTAGAACATTTACTCGAGGAAAATCATAAATCCATTCAAACACAGGAAGAGCAGACTGAAACACTTCAATTAACGTGTGATGATATACAAGAGCGCCTTATAAAAATCGAAGCAATGTTACAAAATATCAGAGAAAATACAGACAATTTGAAAAAAAATTCCTAAAGTACTATCATCATCATCATCATCATCATCATCATCATCCAAGCAATAATGTCTACTGGTATCATTGATTTTCATTGCATTCTTGGGAGGGACAATAAATACATGATAAAAGAAATGTCTGTAGTAGATTTAGAAACATGGGCTACCCAACATTGGATTTTTAAAAATTCAAAATCAATACAGGATAACAAGAGTCGTAAGACTAACAAGTGGTTGGAACGTAATTATCATAAACTATCTCTGGAATATGGCGATGTTGAGTATGAAGAACTAGGTAGAGTGCTGAATTCGTTAAAGTTTAGCTTCATATACGTTAAAGGCGATCAGAAAAAACAACTTCTTTTAGAGTATATTCCTCACATCGGAATCATCAATATTGAAGACATGGGATGCCCTCCACTAGACCAAATATGTGATGAAGAAACTTTACCATGTTGTATTTTTCATATGAATTTCAATCCTAAACAATGTTCATTTTATAAAGTATTTAGCCTAAGAAAATGGTTTGTAAATAATATGTAAAAATAAACATTATATTTATTTTTTTATATCAGTGAGTTATTTCTTTATACTACCCTATCCTAACTATTTGCAATAATAATAAATATAATATCCATAGAGATACTTTACAAAAAAAAAAAAATAGTATCTACATGGTATTTTACAGAATAAAAAAAAATAATATCTACAGTGATATTTTACAGTATAAAAACAATTCATTATGGATACAAAAAAACTATCTGTTTAGCTCGGCTTCTGCAAGTTGCATTAAATCGGCTTCTGCTTCCTCTAGTGTTCTGGTTTCCCTATACAATTTAATAATATTAAAAGTGTGATAAATTAAAATATATAATTATTTTTTAACTCACTCTATGGAGTAGTGTCCGTGAGCCAAAGTATGTATTTTATCCTCGAGTATAACCCTCTTGTCATCGAAACTATTATAAGTTACTTTGTTTGACTTAATGGTCTTCAAATGATGTTTGAATGAACGGATAGAGACATTCTCTCTCTCAGTTTTCAAGGTTGCATCTCCAAACAGACAACGGTAATGATCGTTAAAGTTCATGTGGTTTTTCACTACATGACCACGGATTCCTTTCGCCCTGATCTTCTCTTTCCCGTTGATCTTATATGTATAAGACTTTGCACGGAGAGCA